CCTCATTGCCTTCTTATTTTCTCTAATTCTGTAGCTATGGGGGGAAATGGAAATAAATTGATCAGAAGCCAACTTCTTCCTTCACCTATATATGTATAAATACACACAAAAAGCACATTATATATATACATAAATATATATGTGTGTGTGTGTATGTATGTGTATGCATATATATACATTTGTGTATGTTCATTTAGATAGAAATGTAAGTCAAGAGAAGGAATTATTTTAGATAACTATGCAACTGTACAGTTCCAATCTAACATGACAAAAGAAAAAAACTGGGCCTCATCACATTTTTCTAATGCCAACTAAAAGCTTGTCCATGTATAAAAATACATGCATGTACATACATATATATGTACACACACATCATATCTGTTCTTACTAGTGCTGTTGCAATTCCCGTTGGGTCTATTATCTGCAGTTTGGTGAAATATTTATAGAATCTGTCATTCATTTTACATAAGTGTGCTTGAAACCTTCATTTTACAAGTGAAGAAACTAACCCAGAAAAGCGAAGTGAATTTCACTAGGTCTCACCAATCTGTAAAGTGGTTCAAGTCATTGTAAATAGTACAAACAAATTTGAAAGACTGATAACTGATCAATTCGATAACCAGCCAATATTAGAGTGCTAGAAATAAGGCATGCTACTCACTTCCTGACAGAGGGATGATGGACTCTAGATGTAGAATGAGAAATTTATTTTTGGACATGGCCAGTGGGGGAACTTGTTTGGGTTCTGGGTTTTGTTTGTTTGTTTGCTTGCTTTTTCCTCACTGAGGAGATGAGGTGAGGAGAGAAATTAAATCTTAACCAATGGGAAAAAATGGTTCAAGCCTTAGAAGCATTCCTCTCACTGATACTGCATTCAAAACAGACACTAACACTACAAATACTTTTGTTTTTCATTGTTCCTTCTCTCCAATGCGTATTATTAGCTGGCCAAAGTGAATTAAAAGGGTGGGTGGAGGCAGTGTTTGTTCTAGCATTTCATTGGCATACCATTGTAGAGACAGTAATGAAAAATTACAGAAGTCCAAAAATTCTATTTATTTTCCAAATTTATGTGTAGTATATTACGTACAACTATTTTACACGTGGCTGCTCCTGACAAAGTCTAGAATATTGAATGAATTAAAGCAATTTTTAACTCCTAGGGTAAGCTGTTATTTTTATGTTTTGAATGTAATTACTAATTTATAACTAATTTCTAATTAATAACTGAAATGTATTTCTCACCTGTTGCAATGATAGATTGGGATATATACACAAACACACACATAATACATATTTGGATTATACTGTGATTTCTTTGGCATACAAAACTTCTGCTGGTGAGGAAAATTCCTCTACTGATACAGATCACCAACTGCTATCCAACTTTACACTTAGAAGTGTCAGAAGTAGTACTTGGTTCCAGTTCTTCCTGACTTTGCTCAGCTTTCTATCTTCTATGCCATATCGCCTTTCTTTTTGTCTGTCTTTTCTGTGTCTCTGTTTTGCACTATTGCTGTGTCTCTCTGTCCCTGTCTCCTCTCTCATCCTGTTCTCTGTCTTTTCCTCTCCTTTTTGTTTATCTTTCTGTCTTTCTATCTCTATCTTTGTTTCTCTGTATCTCTGTCTGTCTGTCTCTCTATCTCTCTGAAGTTTGAAAAGTACAATGTGTACTATGAGCCTCAACACAGTTAACTAGGCTAGATAGGCATTATCATTTTCCCCTGCCCCCTAGCCTTTTAATAAATAAGGGAAATGAGTCTCAGAGTGATTAAGTGACTGGAAAATCCCAAAGTAGCATAACTGGGAGGTATCAATGACAATAATTGTAACAAGGTCTTCCTGACTTCAAAACTAGGGCTCCCATAATTGTGACATGTCTCCTCCAAGGGTGAAGAAGCAGGTATAAATTACCTCGTCAGAATTCTGGAAGTGAGCATATGGCCTGATTATATTGAAGCTGGTTTTATCTTTCAAAATTTATATTGTTATTTGTCATATCTATCTATCTATCTATCTATCTATCTATCTATCTATCTATCTATCTATCTGTCTGTCTGTCTATCTATCTATCTATCTATCTATCATCTATCTATCTAGAGAACAGTTTCTAAGAAAATAATAATAACATGTAAAATTCTGTTGGTTTGGGCTAATACAGACCTTAATCAGTGAATGAATTGCCAATTAATGTTTAAAATATAATTATATTTTATAATTTAGTGTATCTTAAAATATATTTAATGATTGTATATATAAATGTGTGTGCACACATATATGTTCAACATATGTGTATTCTACATAATGGTTTGCAAACATGGTATAAACTGAACATTTCTGAGTATTTATGAATATAAAAGCAGTCATTTCTGATATTTGGTAGTAAGACAGTAAAATCTCATTTTATTATGTTGAACTATGCTGTTTTAAAAATGTAGTTTTTATGAATAAAGGTGAAATTTGGGGTAAATTTATTTTATTATGATATTTATGTTATATATTTATAATATATTTATATTTATTTTAGTCAATTATCAACTGTTAAATGGCACATACTTATTTTGCCACAATTATTTTGAAATATTTCTATTTCAAATATATAAGTCAACATTATAAAAAAAGTGAAATATAGTTTTAGTTTTTCTAGTGAAAAAAGTAGTTTTTCTAGTGAAAAACAAAAAGCAGTTGCATTCTACAAGTAGTTAATTTTAAGTATGTTGCAAATAAAATGCAATTTGCAAAAAGTTGCAATTTTACAACTGTATTTTGTTTCCTATCATAAATTATAACATGATAAACTTTTTATGTTCTTATAATTTTTATTTCATATATTCTTTAGAAATATATTCTTTTCATATTCCATCTTTCATTTGTATGCCAGAATAAGATGATGATGATAATGATGATTACTATATTTGTAATAATAGTATTAACAATAGCAAAACTAGTAGTAGGATTTTTATTTTTGCACATCAATTTAAATCCTATGATTTTTAAACAATCCATATTGATGCTCCCCCACTTTTTCTCTCACATCTTTTATTCTTTCAATTCCTCTTCATTTCTCACAGCTTCCTTTCCACTATTGATGGAGGGTGGTGTGGGACTTCTCTTTTTTTCCCTGCCAAAGCCAAACACACTCTTGGTGCTCTTTCCTATTTGTTCATTTGAATTTTATTCATAATATTTTTTTAAATTAGGAATCCATGTATCATTATAACTTTCAAATATATGTATCTGAAAATGCATACAAATAAATGTATATCTCTAGGCTCAGATGAATTATATCCAGCCATGCTGGAAAGATGGAGGTGGAGTGAATCTCAGATCTCAGAATGATCTCTCCTTGTATATTTTTAGAAAGAATTCTTTGTTGTTATTTTGTTGTTTTTTCATCCCTGGTTGCTTCATTGTATTTCTTTCTTGTATTTCTATTGCCTGACATATTAAAAAAACACAAATAAATTGTTCACGTCTAATTTTCAACGTAAAGATGATTAAAAACCTCTTTTGAATTGAAAGTCCATTTTTTTTCATGAATGGTTAGGTTCAGGTTTATAAGGATGTCATATGGTGTTGTATTTGAACTCTTTTGCTCTTTGAAATGCAATCCCATTATCTCTAGTTTTTTTTTTAGTAGGTACAGAATAGTTTTGTGCTCTTTGAATTCTATTTCCTTTTTATTTCAAGTTATATCTCCTGATTGTGTACAGAATAAGTTCTTTGTCATTGGGATTATTACATTTAACCATTATTCATCTTCAATTTTTCAGAGTAGGTTTTTTCACATAGGGAATATATACCTTCTCAATTTTCCTTTGCTCTTTGTGTTCAGAGGATCTGGACAATTTTCTCACATTGTTTATTGCATTGTGGTTTTCAAACTTTTTTGACTCTGAAACATCTATAATCTTTAAATTGACTCTACAATCCTCTCTTTTCCATCACAGAGATTATTTGTTTAATGTTATTGTTCTTTGCTTCTCTTCGTCTCAATTGCCTTTCACTTCTGTATAGTTGCATTTCTAAGCAATTTTTGTTTTGTTTTGTTTTGTTTCATTCATTTTGTTTCATTAGTGAGTTTTGCTACTGTGGATTTAAGTTTTTCTATTCGGCTTATTATATCTACTGTGCAGGGCAGAAATTCTGCTTTCTAAATTCTTATTTCTCTTTTATTTTAATTTGAGAATATTTTGCTGTGATTCCATGCTCTCTTGGGAATCTATAGGGTCATCTACCTTACCAAGTATTGATTCCTTTTAATTTGTCTTGCAATATTTATTCAGAGATATCTGGATTCAGCTAATTTAGAGATTGTATTCCCTTTGGTTATTAATATCTTCTCTGTTGGCTTATCTGCTTATGCCTAAATTCTTTATTTTTTTTAAACTCCTGATGTCTTTGGTAATTTCACTTGTTATTCCCCTTTATCTTCCTCCATTATTACCTTAATTGCAGTTTCTGAGCTGGAGGCAAGGTAGAAGGCTTGACCTTAAAGCTGTCTTAGCCTCCTTGCACACTGGGCAATTCATGTTTTGCTGGCTTAGGCCTCTTCTCCAAGTGTTTCTGGGGCAATAGAACTGTCCTCAGCTGGATACTGGGCTTTTTGTTTCAGGCACACCTGATGAATTCACAGACATACATACTTCCTGCCTCAGTTCCCTTAGTTATCTAGCTTAATAGTGTTTTTAGCGCAGAGCACAGCCATGCTCTAGACCTAGCCAGGGTAAACTTCTGCCTTTTGGTTTTCTAGAACATAGAGAAGAGGGAGACACTGCAGTTTTGAGTTTTCTTACAAACTTATGGATAAGCTTGTGTAACCTTGCCAGAGTGTTGTAGATTATGGGAGAGATTCTGAAAAAAACAAGGTAAAGGTTAGATTTTTTTCTGATTTTAATTCACTGGATTTTTACTTTGTTAGGATTCGGGAGGTCTTAGGCTGTGGATTCAAATGAAATTGTTTTATTTCTTGTGCATAATTCCTCCCCCTTTTTTTGCAGAGGTTTTAGAGGTCTTAAAAAATGGAGATCTATTCCTTTATCAAATTGGTCAGCATTGGCTTTTAAGGGGGCACATGAGAATATTAATCATCCTTAAGTCAGGTATGTTGATAAGGTAAATTATCTTTCTTAATTTTTCAAGAATATTTTCATTTATCTGAGGCAGCATTGTTTTATTCTTTAAAATAATAACAATGGTAATTAACATTTATATATAGCTTACAATATACCAGGTACTATACTAAGTGCTTTTATAGTTATTATCTCATTTGAGTCCCACAACAACCCTGGGAAGTAGATGTTATTATTATCCTCATTTTACAGATGAGGAAAATGAGGCAAACAGAAGTTAAATGACCTGCATAGGGTGGCACATCTAATAAATGTTTGAGGCTGAATTTGAACACAGGTGTCCCGACTAGATCTAGCACTCTAATGCAGTTAATGTGAAAATTGGATAAAAATGTTCTACAGTAAGAATAAATTAGGAAATCATGCCAAATATTAAAAAATCATGATGCTAGTACATTTCAGCATTTGGATGTTTATTTGGAATGGAACTTCTTTTGATGAACTAACTGGTGTGATTTCTGGGGATGTGAAGACCCTAATGTCCTTAAAAGCATTTCTCCCATTTTGAAAGGGAAAGGGCTAACTCTTTAGCTATCATGAGTCATTTATACTGGGGAGTGAGTGAAAGATTTTAGAGCAAATTGTGATAGGTTATTGACAGAGAGGCAAAAAGAGGAAAATGACACCTAGTAAAAAGAAGTGAAGAAACTCATTAAAGAACAATACAGAATTGAGAGGATGGGACAACTGAAGCTTAGTTTATTCTATTTCACACCCTGGCCTAGGACAACAAATTTAGAAATAACTATGATAAACCCATTGGCAATGAAAGGACTAAGAGAAAATATGGAGAAAATGGAAAATATTGGAGACAAGAATTTGCATGAGTTTGTGTCAATATAGAGAAGAAAAATACATTGCAATTTATATCACAGATAGAAAGATGGAAAGGGACTCAGGGGTCATGTAGTCCAGCCCTTTCTCCTCATTTGTAAAATGAGGAAAGTAAGTCACACAAAGCCTGAGGTCAAACTGGTAGTAAGCAGCAAAACCAAAGTTCTCTGCTTCCAAATCCAGTACTCTTTCCATCTCCTCACTGCCTTCATTTTGCAATAATCACTATATAAGATTTTAAGTAAAATGTAAGTTCCTTAAGCATGGGGAAGATTTTGTTTTGTCCTTGAATTCTCAGCTTCTAGGACAGTGCTTTGCACACAGTAGGAGTTTAACAAATATTTTATTTATTGTATTATAATGCAATGTGCTTTTGTATTTGCCCTTTGATATTTCAGGCCTTCCATTATTAATTATGAATCTCTTCAGATGAGAATGCTAATTCACACAGTACCTACATTATCTCCTTTGATTCTCTCAGCAACTTTGTAAGGTAGGATCCATTATTCCCCTAGCGCCTACTGTCCTTCCTTTCAGAAGTGTTTGTATTTATTTTGTGTATATTCTTCATATCTTTATTTATTGTGTAACTTTGGAAAACCCAGCCTCCTTAGAACTCATTTTTCTCATCTTTAAAATAAATGAGGTGAACATGTGGTCTGTGAGGTCCAAAACTGTTTTATAGTAAAGTGTGTTTTGCAATGTATAGCGCAACAGATGAGAGCAGCCTTGGAGCCGAGAATCTCTGATTTCACACCCTACCTTTACCCATAGTCCCATTGTGAACCATAGGCAAGTCACTGAAGAAGTATCTTAGCTATCCCAAGACTACTCTCTAAGAATACTGTAAAATGCAAAAGTTGCCTAGTTGCATTGTTAATATTTTCTGAATGGGGATGTGGGGAAGGAGGAGGATGGAAGTTTAATAAAAAGCTTCTACAATGCTTTTGACCTGTACTATCAAAGATTTTAATTCTCTACCCCTCCCACTACCAAGAAAATGAAAAGCATAATAATGACATAATAAAGGCATAATAACCATTTCCACTTTGGTTTCTTAACTGGTGGAACAATATTCTCAACAGCATAAGGGAATTAAAAGAATTGCTGAAAATCATTAACTGGGAAAAAGCAGAGACTTTCTTTTCTTTTCTCCCAAATGCAGCAACAACTTCAGGTGAAACAGCAGGATCTATTTCACTAATACCCTGTCTATTCCTGTCAAAGCCAGCAAATAAACATGTGACAGCAGGGGCTTGTGAATCACTCTGATCACTCAAAACGGCTGTTTGAAGGGCACTTGTTATTAACTCGCATTTTTTTCCCTGTCAAAGTTCTGAGTGACAACTGTATATCTCCCATCTCTTCTGTAAAACAGTTGAGAAATGTTTCTGGCATAGCAGGGATATAAGTGGAGTATTTTTCTTCCAAAAAACCAGGAGAGTTCACTTCTGAAGCAAAATCATATTACACATGCACTGTAATTATCCATTTGGCTAATCTTTTTCTAAGTCATTTGAGTAGTTCAAAAATGAATTAGCAGCTCTGAATGGTGATATAAAAAGATATGATTTTGTTCTTACTGGCAGCTATTGGACTTCACTTTATTTAATTTTATTTATTTATTTTTAAATTTTAGACTCAAACACTAGAATTCAAATACAGACTAGAGAAAATTAAAAAAACAACAACAACATAAATTTAAATATTGAAACTTAAATATACAGTAAGAAAAGAAAAAAAATAAAGGATGTTATGTACATAGCAGAACATAAGAGAGGATTCAAAATATGTAGTGACAAATTTTCATTTTGAAAAAGCCTGTATGATAAATACTACACATTGTGTTGAGAGCTGTCCATCTTCTCTTTGCTTCCTTGCAAGTTTTCTTTTGTTCTCTGCTGTGTACTCCTTACTTTGTTCTTCCTGCCCCCCATCCCTGCCCAAAGGCTACAATTAAGTGCAGATATATTTACATATTGATAATAAACACATATATAATACATATATATGTACATATGTATATATGTACATATGTGTGTATATACATATATATACATATATATATACATATATATGTATATATATGTATACATATATATGTAAATATATAGACATGTACTTTCCCTAACAAAGTCTACTCCTGAACTCCTCTACTTTACTCCTACCTGCTACCTTGCCCTTCTATTACTGAGCGTACCCCCCTCCAAGGATCCCTCCCCTGTCCCCCCATTCCCATAAATCTAAAAACCCTTCTTTAATCCCCTATAACTCCCTCACCCTTCCCCTCTAGAAATCCTTCCCTATCCTCTACTCCCTCTTCCCCTTACCATTTTATTTCTTCTGAATTTAGAAGACTTTCATATGCTTCTACATAAATATATATTGTTCCCTCTTAAACTGATTCCTGATGAAAGTAAATTTCCTTCTCTATCTAATTCTTCTGTGTCAGTTCTTCCTCTTGCACCTTATTTGTATAAGATAATTATTCTTTTTAGCTGTTCCTAAATGGTTTAACTTTTTTAAGTCATATCATACTCAGATCTAGTCCAAGCTTTCTTATAAACTACTCAGTTACTTATGACAATATTAGATATACTTTTCTTACATTTTACATATATAAAAGCTAAACTGTCTGTCCGTATTGAATCTCTTGTAATCAGTCTTTGGTATATACCTTATATTTCTCTTCGTTCTTGTATATCAAATCTTCTATTAAGTTCAGTTTTTTTTTTAATCAAGCCCTGAAAGTCTGACAGTTGATCAAATGTCTTTTTTTTTTCATTCAGGATTATGCTTAACTTTGCTGGGTATGATGTTTTCAGCTGGAACCCCAGTTCTTTTACTCTTTAATGTATAGTTTTCAAAGACCAGCTGTCCTTTATTGTCTCTGCTTCTAGGTCTTGTGTGATTTAATAATTTAATTGTGTGTTATATTTAAATTGTTTTTTCCTTGTTGCCCTTAATATTTTATCCTTGAGCTCAGGGTTTTGAAATTCGACTATTATATTCCTATGAGTTTTCTTCATAGGAGCTCTTTCAAATGGTGATGATGGATTTTTTTCTATTTCTACTTTCTTCCCTTGTTCTAATGCTTCAGGACAATTTTATTTAATTATTTTTTAGTATTATTGTATCAGGAGTCTTTTTTTTATCATAGCTTTCAGGTAGTCTGTTTACTCTTACGTTTTCTCTTGATTTGTTCTACAGATTATTTTTCCTGTAAGATGTTTGACTTTCTCTTCTATTTTTTTCATTCTTTATACTTTGTTCAATTATTTCTTGATCTCTTATAACTTTGCTGGCTTTGCCTTGCCCTATTATAGCTTCCAAGATGTCATTTTCTTCCTTAACATTCTGGATCTCCTTTTCTAATTGGTTGACTTTCTTTTTATAATCTTCCTGTTTTTCTTGGATTGTTCTTATTTTTTTTTTAGTTTTTCCTCAACATTTTTTAGAGTTGACTGATATGTTGATTTTATAATCATCAATGCGGAGAATGCCACTTTGCATAAATACATAGCACAAAATGGCAGAATTATGTTTAGGGCCATTTCATAAATTGTTGAAAATTCTATCCTAATCCTGAGCCAAAATTCATTAATGATTTTTTAGGAAACTCAAGGTTTTTTTAAAAAATATTAATTAATTAATTTATTTATAATTTTCAACATTCATTTCCATAAAATTTTGAGTTCCAAATTTTTTCCTCCTCCCTCTCCACCCCCCTACCCCAAGACAGCATACAATCTGATATAAGCTCTACATATATACATTTATATTAAACATATTTTCACATTAGTCATGTTGTAAAGAAGGATTGGAACCAATGGGATGAACCACAAGAAAGAAGAAACAGGAAGAGAGGGAGAAGCAGGGGAGCAAATAGTAAGCTTTGATCTGCATTCAGTCTCCATAGTTCTTTTTCTGGATGTGGATAAGATTTTTCATCATGAGTACTTTGGAAATATCTCAGATCCTTGCATTGCTGACAAGATCTAAGTCTATCAAAGTTAGTCATAGCATAATGTGGCTGTTACTGTGTACGACATTCTCCTGGTTTTGCTCACTTCACTCAGCATCAGTCCATACAAGCCTTTCAGGTTTTTCTGAAGTCTGCCTGCTCATCATTTCTTATAGTATAATAATATTCCATTACATTCATATAACACAACTTTGCAGCCATTCCCCAATTGATGAGCATCCTCTTAATTTCCAATTCTTTGCCATCACAAAAAGAGCTGCTATAAATATTTTTGTACATGTGGGTCCTTTTCCCATTTTTATGATCTAATTGTAATACAGACCTAGAAGTAGTATTGCTGGCTCAAAGAGGAAACTCAAGTTTTAAACCTGTGTTGCTTGATAACTAAGCAAATTCTTCTTGAATTTTTTAATAGTAGACAACTGACATTTTTTAAAATTTCAATTGAGTACGGTTTATGAACCCAACTTATTCTTTTAGAATCAAAATTTGAAGAGAAGTATTTCTGAAACTGTGTCTCCAGGCACTTTAGATGGACCAATTATAACTCTTACAATTAAATCTTTGGGAAGGTTATTTTCAGTTATAAAATCGTCTGTAGCTGTAAACATTTCTAAAGAAATATTTTCCACCCTATTGTTCCATATGTTAACTTTTTTAGTAAAAAATCTTTCAATTTTATCTTTTAACATAAAGAACTTACAATTTTTTCCTTGAAGTGACTTGTTTAAATCATTGAGGTTTTTTAAAAATATCCAAAAACACAGTTTTGAAAGCCATAAGTCATTATGAAAAAAATTAACAAAATCAGATTTATGCTCAGTCAAAAATGTAATAACTTCATCTTTCAATTTCAACAACCTGTTTAAACTTCACCCTCTAAAAAGCCACCTTATCTCTCCATGTAGTAATATGCTTTTGCAATTGGAGTCCATGTCTTTCAAAGGTTTGAAAACAAATGACTGTTAAGGAAATGGCTTTTGATGAAGTTAATGATTTTGATAGTATTGCAAAGCATAACATCTAAATTTGGTGATAATTTTTGACTATGAGTGCCTCCCAATGGATCATGCAGTCAGTAAAAGTAATATGTTCATTGACACCATCTTTAACTTTTGCTACAAATCCAACATTCTTGCCCATCATTGCTCCAGCACTATTTTCACAGACTCCAACACAATATTTTCACTGTAAACATTCATTGTTGAAAATTAATTGACTTTGAGTTACATCTTCCTTTCCTGTGTGCCCTTCCAAAAGGCAATAAAACAGTAATTCCTCATGTATTCTTCCTTCATAAACATATCTTACATAAAGTAGCAACTGTGCCATGTGAGAAATATCAGTTGTTTCATGTAACTGAATTGCAAACTTTGGGCTGCCCTGAAGCTGGCAATAAGCTGCTAGAGTTGATGATTAATAATTTCTGAAACTCTTTTGGAAACAGTATCATTTGATAAAAAGAATTTTATGAATTTCATCCCTATACTTTTCTCCATGAAATATTTGTGACATTTTAATAGCAGCAGGTATCACAAGATCTTCTATCACAAAGGGCTTTTTTTAGATTTTGCAATTAAATAGGAAGTTTCATAAGATGCAAGAAAATACTTTCTATTGACAGTAACACATTTCTCAAAACATTGATTTTCTTTATTTGAAAAATTTAAAAGTCGTTCATAATATCCCTTTGATTTATTTCGTTATGTTACATGCCTGGTATTAAGATGTTGTTTAATTTGGCTGGTTTCACGCTCTCCACAGCCAAAACTTCATTACAAATTAAGCAAAGAGGTTTTTCCACATCATCATCATTATTAGAAGTAAATCCATATTGAAAAAATGATTTGACTTATTTTCTTTTTCTTGTCAGCTTAGGTATACTACAACTGGGTAATGAAGACTCTGCAGCATTGTCATCAGTATTTTTACCTCTTATGTCTATATATAGCCACTTATCCATAACCAAAAACTATTTTTGTCCTAAAATACAAGTAAATATTGCTAATAGTTTCTCAAATAAATAGTAGCTTTAGTATATGAAATTTGTTTGTGGTTTATTTTTTTGGAACTCCCTTGCTTTCTCCATAATCCATCAAATCATGGTAATTTGATCCCTAGCTCCCATGAGTCTTTGAAACATGATTGCTCTTCTCAGTTTACATATTGCTGAAGCCTTAGCTTGAAACATCTTAGGTGTAACCTTGCTGTTGTGTGAATGAGCAATTGTTTGGTAATTCGAACATTCTTTGACATATTCTGCTTTAGAACTGGTGTGTAAACTGAACTTTTCCAAATCAATGGCCACAGTTGAAATTTCAAAATTTGCTGGCATAATGAGTGCAGCACATCAACAGAATCATCTTTTAGGATTTTAAGTAGCTCAGCTGGAATTTCATAACCTCCACTAGCCTATTATTAGTGATGCTTCCTTAGGGCCACTTGACTTTATTTTTCAGGGTGTGTGGCTCTAGATCGGTAACCACAACATTATGGTTATTGGTGATAGTAATATCTTTCTTGTATACTTTTTCCCCATGTATTCTTGACACCTCTTCTTAATCTCTTCTGCTTTTGTTAAGTCCCTACCATTTTTGCCTTTTATCATGCCCATTTTGCATGAAATGTGCCCTTAATATCTCAGGTGATTATTACAAATTTTATTTTTGGCAAGAATCCCTTAGAAGAAAAAGAGTAGCCCATATAGTAAAAAAAAAAGGTGAGAAAAGGAGCACTGGATTATAGTCTCAAAAAGGATAGAATAGTATCTGTTTGAATCCAAGGAAAACCATTCCACATCACAATGTTGACTGTTTTCCAACCACCAATTCCAAAGAGGCCAAAGATGCTTAATTCTATGAAGACTTACAAAATTTTCTAGAAATAACCCCCCCAAAAAATATGTCACATTCATTACAGGAGATTGTAATGCTGAAGTAGGAAATCAAAAGATAATTGGAATAACTAGCAAGTTTGGCCTTGGAGTACAAAATGAAGCAGGGCAGAGACTAATAGAATTTAGTCAAGATAACTCACAGGCCATAGCAAACATTCTTTCAACAACTCAAAAGGCAACTCTATACATGACATCACTATATGTTCAATATTGAAATAAAATTGATTATACGCTTTGCAGCCAGAAGTGAAAAAGCTCTATACATTCAGGTAAAATAAGACCTGGAGCTAAATTTTAATCAGATCATGAGCTTCTTATTTAAAAAAAAATTAGACTCAAATTCAAGAAAGCAGGGAAAACCATCAAATCATATAGTTATATCTTAAATAACATTCCTTATTGAGTGGAGGTGATGAATAGATACAAGGGATTATGACTGATACATACAGTGCTTGAATAGCTATGGACAGAGGTTTGCAGTATTGTACAATATTGTACAGCAACAAAAAAACATTCCAAAGAAAATGAAGAGCAAAAAAGCAAAATTGTTGTCTGATTAGGCTTTACAAATAGCTAAAGAAAGAAGGAAAGGGAAAGGGAAAAGAGAAAGGGAAAGATATACCCAACTGAATGCAGACTTACAGAGAATAGCAAGAAGAGATATGTTGTTGCTGTTGTTTTTTAATGAGCAATGCAAAGAAATAGAAGAAAACAATAGAATGTACAAGACAAGATATCATGAAATTTAGAGATATCAAGGGCACCTTTCATGCAAAAATGGGTGTGAAAAAAGACAAAAATGGTAGTGACTTAACAAAAGTACAAGAGATTAAGAAGAGATGGCAAGAATATACAGAACTATGCAAGAAAGATCTTACCATCACCAATAATCATGATGGTGTGGTTAACTAATCTAGAGGCACACATCCTGGAGAACAAAATCAAATGTGCCCTAGGAAACATTGCTAACAGTAGTCTAGTGGAGGTGATGAAATTCTGAGCTATTTGAAATCCTGAAAGGTGATGCTGTTAAACTGCTGCACTCCACATGCCATCCACTTACATTCACCAACACCCAAGATGTCAGTGTTTAATCTTACCATCTTCTGTTTGACCACGTGTAGCTTACCTTGGTTCAAAGATCTTATATTCCAGGTTACTCTGCAATATAGATCTTCATACCCTAAGACTTTCCTTTCATCATAGACAGTTCCACAGCTGAGCTTCCCTTCAGCTTTGGCCTAGTCATTTTATTCTTTCTAGAGCTACTTGTAACTTTCTTCTGCTCCTTCCCAGTAGTATATTGGATACCTTATGACATGAAGGGCTTATCTTCTGGTGTCATATATTTTAGCATTTCAATGTTGTCCATGGGGTTTTCTTGGCAAAGAGACTGGAGTAGCTTACCATTTTGTTCTCCAGTGGATCACATTTTTTTCCCTTAGAATTCTCCATAGTTTCATTGAGCTACATAAGCCCCTCCACCTCCACAATGCCCCTCCACAATATTAAAAATAATTGATAGATAATTAAAGTGCAATATGAGATCTGAGAAGAAAAAGTCATTGTTAAGTTGACAGTTTTCAGGAAAGCCTCTTCATCTAACTGTTTACCCTAAAGTATTGTAATGATACATTTAGTTAATTTTGTTTTAGTTAAGTTGGCTATCTATTTGGATTTTCAATAAATTGCTTGTTTTAATAATCACTGTATTATAATTCAATGGTTTTCTTTGCTACCTAAAATATATGTTCATTTTGAAATTGGTATTTAATGGAAAACGGGTCAAGCTTTTGTTACAGAGCTTAGGGTCTTCCTATCCATTAATGACTAGCAATCACAAGTTTTGCTTGAACCTGCAAACTATACTCCTTAGAACAATGATATTTAAGGGGGAAGATAGATGTGATTCTATTCCAATACTCTCTCTTTTTGAGAAGAGCCAAAAGGTTAAGGCCCCTATCCTCTTGTTCTTCCTCTTAGCAGGTAGAAAAGTCTTGCTTGGAGAAAAATAGGGAAATAATAGGTAAGATATGTCTATTCTGCTTCTCTTTGGGCTACACAATGACACCTTATGCTACACGTAGGGGACAGCCACCCATCCTGTGTGTAGATAGATATAGATATCCTCTTGAAATCCAAAATGATAATAATGAAGTTAAGGTGACAGCTAATAATGCACCTACTATTTCATTTACTTGGTTTTAGCTATGAAAACACATTTCAAAATTTACCCTGCAGTATGTATATTGAAGATTCTTCTATTTGGTTTTGACACTGAATTTATTTGATATTTAGGGGAAAACTAAATTCAATGGAAGTTGTACTACTTTACTTTTCAGGTTCATTCACTTTGACCCTTACCTGACTTATTAGATATTAGCCTTCCTGTTATGAAAAGGCCAATTACATCAAGGTGTAGACACCATTAGTTTGCACTTTATTACTTCCATTTAGCTGCTAAAGACCTACGTTTTACACTCCACAGATAATATTTAATCAAACAAATTTTGATTAAATGCAATTTTTTTTTAACAAATATTATTATTTGCGAAGTTCTTGGGGTTTGCAATCAATTCTGTTTGTGTCTACCTATTTTCCTGAAACTTAATGAAATATTTAGGGTTTCTTTTTTAATAACAAAGTACTTTCTATACAAGTCATTCACTTTTACTTCATAGTAACATAATTTAGAATTGTAAATATCATTAAAAATCACCTAGTCTAATCCCCTCTGTATGAAAAAACTGAGGCCTTTAGAGGCCCATTTACTACCTCTCTAACTTTGGTCACAGAGGCAAAAATCTAGGTTCAAACTTGGGCCATCTCATAGTGACTCCTACATATCACTGTGTCCCTTTTCCCCCACACAACATGCTTTAGCCTCAAATTAATTTCTTGGTGGACTGTAACATATTAATAAAATTATGAATATGAGTGATAAAAATAATTCAAAGAAATGTGTGATCTAGAAAAAAAGACAGTTCCATCATGAGTGAGGGATAACCAATGTGTCGCTGTTGTTAACAGTATTTTAAATGTAGTCCGGACAGGATCAGTCTTTACTCTCTGAATACCCAGAGCAACACAAAGCAGGCCTAGAGACAGGAGTGCCAGGAAATAAGCAGTGGTTTAATTAATCACTTTCAGAGTGAGGAATTCTCTCTATGCTGGAATAAAGGCACAGTTTATATACATAAATCACAAATGGAGAAAGGGAGAGTGGATCACAAAACAATAATTTCTAGGGCTTAAGCAGTTTCCACAAGCCCAAGAATCCACAGTACAAGTGTTCTGGAGTCCTGTGGGAACAGTATTGTTTCAGGTCTTTAGAATAGGGTTGTTATTTGGTAGAGGCACAGAACCAGAGTTCTATTACAGGAGCAGGTTCTACAATCTTTTATTTGCTTCACTTGACATACACAGACACAGGAATGTAGTAATTGTGATAGCATTTTCAAGGGTTTGATTAATCATTTCAAGCTGCATTTAAGTCTCTGACTCCCAAACCAGAGTCTCCTGAGAAATCTAAATTATTAGTATATTCATTACACATATCGTGGGGGAGAATAGTAGGGGGGCTTAAATTCAGTGGCTGTTGGAGGGCAGACTTCAGATAATCAAAGGTGTTTTGAGTTGTGGGGAAAGAGCAAAGGGCTCAAGTACAGAATCCTTTAGGAAGTCATAAAGGGGGCAGGCAATACCTGAAAACTTAGGGATCCAGAAATGGCAATAGACCTTCAGACCAAGGAAGGCATGGAGCTGATGCTTGGTGTGGGTACGGGGAACTGAATGATAGCTTTAAGATGGGAGGAGTCTAGACAAAGGCTGGAGGCAAAGTGGTGATGTTCTAGGAACTTTACAGAGGGAAGAGCAAACTGGAATTTGTCCCTAGATACCTTGTGGCTTCTTGCTGTTAAAACATTTTGGAAGTATACAGAATCCTGAACAGAATTATCTTGGGAGGGGGAACAAAGGAGGGAGGGGAACAAAGGAAGTCATCAATATACTGGAGGAGGATAGAGGGCTTAAAATCTAATGAGGGGCAACCGAGATT